TCAATTTCATGTGTAATGAACTTTACCATGAATCCATGATCTTACTGGTGCTCATATTTGAATAAAGTTATTTTTAATTTGATACTTCAAATTTTTGGCTTGAGATATGATAATCGGCCTGCGCCATATCAAACATAGAACGAACTTGAGATGCTTATAATCATGCCATATCAAACATAGAACGAACTTGAGATGCTTATAATCATGTTTTGACACTTCGGGCATGAAAATAGCCTTTCTAATGCTTTACTTGCATGGATTTGGGCAACTGCTAAGTTACTAGCAATCACTAATGCTTGAGATTGAGATTGATGTTTTCGTATTCCTTTTGATAAATTCAATGAAAATTTGGGTGAATATTCACATATCATTTTTTTTTTTCGATTTTCCTTGTGGTCAGGTACTTGATTGCATCACACACTACAGATTATCAGCATCCTATGCTGTTTTTGAATACATTTGCCGTTTTTGTTCTTGTCGTGGCTAAGTTTCCGCATATGCACAAAGTTCGTATATTTGGAATCAATGCCGATCAGTGAGGCTTTTGATCCATTGATATAACGGTACCCTTAGCTCCTATGTGTTGGCCTATACAAGCATAACTGTATGTGTGCTACTCGGAAACTTGGAAAAGATAGTATCACTTTGTTAAATATTTTTAAGTGCTACCTCTCGTTTCTTGCTCACTCACTCTCTGTATGAACTTTTTGTACAAGTTGAATTCTGAAATTTTTTGCATAAGCTTATTATAAATTTTTCCTTGTAATTTGTCACTTTATTACCTAGCAGAAACATGAGCACGGCCTGTTTGTCAATTGCTTATGTAAAGGGTGTTTTTAGGTAGAAAAAACTTTTAGATTTTCACTTGGACCTCTAGAACAGTTGAGATTACATGTGTTAATTCTTGTTTAAATTATCTTCATCTATTTACAAGCATGCGGAAATTATTATTCGAAAAAAAAAAAAAACGTGCCACATCACCCAAACGTGCCATATCACCTCAGACAAATAGTTGGATGGTGCTCTAAACATTATGCTATGGCATCAACCAACCCAAACGTGCCATATCACCTCAGACAAATAGTTGGGTGGTGCTCTAAACATTATGCTATGGCATCAACCATTTATAAATTATACGGATACAGTTTTGCTATGAAGCCAACAGTTGGCTTCATGGTGGAGCCAACCTTATATATAAACAAGTAAATCGTACTATATTTTTTGAGTACTTAAATAAATTCTAATAATTTTATTAAAAATCATACACTTATAATACTTTTACTAAAAACACACTCAACATGTATTTATTGCTTTTCACATTATAAGATTACGAAAATCAATGATTTAGATTGTGTTACGATCCATTAATTGGTAAACCAATCTAGTAAAGTACACTACTCATCTCATTGTAGTATATATCGAAATCAACAATTCAGATTTTTTAACAAATAATTCTAGGTAAATCAATTTGATAAGGTAGATTTTCGACATCAATTACATTAGCCCTCAACAGAAGAGAGAAGGAAAAAAAAAAACAAAAAAAATAACCAAATGGAAAATATAAACTAGTTCAAGCGCACATGACATTATTCATTATTAGGCTAAATGGAAAATAATAACTAGTTCAAGCCCACATCACATTATTCATTATTGGGCCAAACCCATTTAACCTTACCAGACTCATACATCTTGCGAAATTCTCCTAACCCGGCTTGTTCATCTCATCTCTAATCTCTATCCAGTTCTACAACAATCGGCGTAGTACATTTTCAGATCGCCTGAAAAAAAGGAACCCTCGCGCGAAATTTTACTCCCCAATCAGCTGCAAATCTCTGCTTAATCATCCGATGGCTTCGTCAATGGCGCTCAAGAGGCTTCTTTCATCATCAGCCCGATCTCTGAATCCCCTCCTCCGCCAGTCGGCCGCAGCATCTAATGCTCTCCACGCATCCGATCGTCCTCTGGACCATCGCCGCCGCGACTATTCCTCTTCTACAGGTACCTTCGGATCTTTATACAGTTCGCTTGTTCTTCTGTTTGTATGGTATCTGAAAACTTCATCTTACTGCATCCAAATTCTAATCTGCTCCTGCTCACGGCCAATTGGTACAGTGCGGAAAAAAACTTTTTTTTTTTTTTTTTTGGGGGGGGTGATTTTGTGGGTTTTCATTTGAGTTTGGATAATTTGATTTGGGACATTGGATCATTGTTCTTCTTTAGTTTTTGTGTCAATTTCGTGGCATGTTCAAAATAAGTCAAAACAATTATGTAGAACATGAAATAGCTGCACTATTGGAGAATTTGGAGGGTGTTATGTCAAAATACGGTTGGTCGTGTTCGTGTTTAACGTCATCGTATTGTAAGTTGAATGCATAGTTCTGTTTATGCCTTGTTGCAGGTGGGTTCGACCCGTTTTCTTGGAGGAGGAACATGATCATTGGCCAATCGAGCCAATACTCTACAGTTGCAGCCGGAATTGGTGACCTGGCGGACACCAGTAAAGAGGAGAATCTGAAGAAAAACGTGCTCCGGCCCTTATCTCCTCATCTCCCCATCTACAAGCCCCAGCTAAGTTCGACCACCTCAATTCTCAATAGGATATCTGGAGTTTATCTGACTGCTTATGTTCTGGGTTTTTATCTTGTTCCTATTAAACTGGGTTCTGTTAGCTTCAGCTATGAGGGTTTCTATCAGTTCTTGTTCTATTCATCAAAACTCAGCCTTTTGTCCACTGAGATTGCTGCATTAGCCTTTGCCTATCATGCTTATGCTGGGGTTCGTCACCTGTTGATGGATGTTTCGGGAACTGTTTTCCCAACAAAATGAAATTGATTGCGTTTAAACTCTTTCACCTGCTATAATTTTCAGTCGGGTCAGATCATGTAATAAATTTCGGATATTAGTGCCGCTGTTCTGGAAAGTCTTTTCTAGGCTTTTGCGTGCCTTTAATCTAGTAGCACTGTTTGTTGCCGAGTTGTTTGGTTATAACGGTTAAACAATGACCATATTAAGTCTTTCTGATCGCCTTTCGTCTCTCTCTCTCTTCTCTCTCTAAAGTTTTATATTTGTTTGATATTTCTTTTGTCAGTCACTACTCATATTTTGCTTTTTGCATCTCCTTTGCTGATTTTCTTCCATGTGTTATGACTCGATAATTTTTTACTAGATGATGTAGCTCTGCATGCGTACAATATTTGATTTGAAATTTTGGTTTCTTCATTCCCCTAAAATTTCTTCTGGTCCACAATATCTCAAAATGTAAAACATCATAACATAAAATAATTTAATTAAACATGATTCCCAAGCAAAAGAAAAATAGTGTTCATTAAAAAGCCAAACTTTATGTACACACATTAACACATCATGTGCATCTCTAAAAAGGGTACGGCCATGATGCATTCGCGCGCCTCTCTCTGATCTCCATAATGTACCCCTACTCCTTCCGGAGTAGGAAACTTGAAGGAATAATGAAAGATGGACACCGCTGCCCGAAGCTTGTACAATGCAGTTCTTCCCATTGTACTCGTTTCATACTCGACTATATTGAAAGTTTCATGAATCGGTTTTCCAGTCGGTCCGTCTCCTCTAAATTGAATGGGTTGAGTTATTTCACCCACGGGGATGGTAGTCCGGGTCGTCGAACCCTTGAATTTGATCATTATATGACTGATCTCCTTAGGATCAATTTCCATTTTTCGGAAATATGTTCAGGTATAGTACACTCGCATACGCTCTTGTGTCCACCAGGATCCTGTATACTGGGATGGGATGTAAAAAAATGGTGCCGTCAACACGAGAGCGTCCGAATGAGGGTGATCAAACGGTACGGAGTCCTCATTCGCGGAAGTGATAGGATTCGTTCGAGCGGGCGGAAAGTGTCCCGGTTCTGTGTGTCGAACTTGTTGTTTAAAGCTATAAGCTTGTTGTGCGCATGCCTTCATCTGTTGATGAGAGTCATTCGTCCTTCCTTGGCTGGTGTGGACTAGTCGTACCAGTCCTTTAGACTGAATGTCATCCGGATTGTCCTGCGAGGGGCATTTTCGCTTCCTAGATCGTGAACAACTTGCTTAATCTTGCGACCCAAAACTAAACGTAAGGATCTCTCTTGGGGATTTTCTCGCGCTCTTTATAGTCATCACTATTCGCGTTGTCCTCAGTTCGACACCTTCTCCTCTATTCGGGGTTCTTAGTGAATTTCGGACTTGAGGGTCCCCAATGAGTTTGAGTGCGAAAATGAGATTGTGGCATTTCTACGTGTTATGATCGTGCGATTTATGGTAACCGCATAATTAAATGATATCAATCAGACATTCCTACACACGACAACAATTTAATTCACTATTCATTCACTCATATAATTTTAACTAACAATCACTTCAAATCATTTCTCTCTTTCTTTTAAAACAAATCAACGATAATATCTTATTTTAAATATTATTTTAATATACTCACTAACAACTAACTATATCACGTTTTTTAAATTTAACCAAACCAAACCAAAAAATACAACCAAAAAAAAAATTATATCTAAGACCATTGTTTTTCAACTCATATACTACAGTTGCGCTTGCCGAATACAGAACATTGTAATTTGGCCATCAGTTCCTCTGCTTTCGGAGTGCTCGGACTTGTGCAGTTTGGGCATCCTTAGAAGGATCTCGATTCGGCTTGGTTCCTTGCCCCTGGGTTCGGAGTTGTTTGATAAATCAAAGGATGGGATGAACATCGATTCTTCATCTATGACGTGTTGTTGAGCTCGTGTGAGAAACTCTTGGTAGGTTCTGGGTTTATATTGGTACAATGACTATCTGAACATCGAGTTCGACTTTAAGCCGGAATATACCGACACTAGCAACGCTCTTGGTGCATGACTCTATGTTCTGCACACGCTCGTTAGAACGGGCGATATAGTCTTTCAAACTCTCATCGGCTCCTTGTATGATATTCGTAATTGGTTCCATCGGTACCATGCACAATTGAGATCCGATTAAGTGTGATCGAAAAGCCGAATCAGCTGACGCCAATTCTGAAATGAGTGGCAAAAGGGAATGATACCATCTCCTTCGGTCCCAACGTCAAGGAGAACATTCAGCATGTGAGGGCTTCTGTGGCCCTATGTAAATCTATCCATGAGGTATACATGCCAAGGTGGATGTCGGGGTCGGAGTTACCTATCATACAACCCGATCTAAGATATTTTGATCTTATCTGGAAGAGGATCACGAATGATGTTGGACGATAAGGGTGAGGCTGAATCAGTCAGAGAGTCGATAGCGTGACGAGGTGGAGGCGATGAAGTTCTGTCCGCCATCTTCTATCGAGCCTCAAGCTCACTCACTCTTTTTGTTGATTGAAAGCCTAGCAAAAACTTTTTTGTTGATTAAAATCTTATGGTACATGGTCATAAATGTATATACACAACATTAGCTTGAGATTATCTTTTGTATTGTTGGTGGTGAGATATTTCCAAGAATATTCGTCTATTAAATGACTTTGCTAAAGTAATAATATTTTTGGAACATCGACAACGACAACAGCATGCAAATGTGAGATTTGTGTAATGAAACAGTTTAGATCGTATATATGAAACAATACTTATATCCAAACTTATCTAACGATGTATGCACACCACAAGAAAATAATGAAATTTCAATAAAAATATATTACATTAGAATTATATCAACGACAATTCCAATGAATATTTCAATGATATTATTTCCGTTGGAATTTTTAAATGATTCCAATGGAAATTCCAACAAAAATATTCTGGTGGAATGAGTTTTCTATTGGAATTTTCGTTGGATTTTGACGATTCCAACAGGGGTGAAATAAAAATATTAACGGAAATTACATATTCCAACGGTAAAAAGCCGTTGGAAATATTGCCGTTGGAACCATCAAATTCCATCTAAAATTCTAATGAAAAACACATTCCAACGGAATATTTACTGTTGGAATAGGCATTTCCATAGGAATATATTAGCATAAAATTTTTCGTTGAAATATAACAATTTTTTTGTAGTGGCATCACATCTTACAAGTTTACAATTTATATTATTTTAAAATGTAACTAGTTTAAATTTGGTTTTATAGTTATATCTTATATATAACTTTTAAATGATTTTTTTTTTTTTTTTTTTGCCGGAATTATTGAAGCTGAATGTAAATGGCATGGACAAAAACGTTGAGTTAGATAGAACATTGGTTGCTTTGTGGTTTCTTTGCTTTCCATTATTATAGTATCATCATCAGGAAAACGACATTTCATTCATTATCAGTTAAGGTTATTGTTGTTCGCAAATAAGGCACACCTAGCAAGGTGTGCCAAAACTTTTTTAAAATGAACATGTTTCATTACAAAATGAACATGTGTAAACATATTTACACATGTTCATTTTGTAATGAAACATGTTCATTTTAAACTGCCTTGGCACACCTTGTTAGGTGTGCCAAGACACACGGTAGTAGCAGTGATTGTTGTTCACGGATGAACAACAATGCCTTTGCTTTTGGGAAGTATTGAGCATCATCACACGTGGTATAACTTTCAACCCTACAAAATATATAATGGAACAAAATTAAAAAGAATAAAATAAAAACTATACGTACATAGGTAAATATTGTTTCAAAAGGCTTGATGTTCATGTGAATTGATGGGACATGTCGGTCGGTGCTACCAACTTTATTAGAGGCGTGTTCAGATGGTTGGAGTGATCGCAAATCCTTCCCGAAAAGCTCACGTAGGTGATCGGCATGTTGATCGAGTTGATCGGCAACCTTGTTGGTGACCGTACGGGCCGAATGTGAAGTGATTTTTGCGGTTCTAGGCCTTGCTCGTTCACTTGTGCTAAGGTTTAAAATGTGGGCCACATCATTCCACGTGATCGAAAATTTATGAGTACAACAATTATTATTATTATTATTATTATTATTATTATTATTATTATTATTATTATTGTCTTAATCTTTAAATAAGTGAAATAGAGTTGAAAATTCGTAGTAAAAATCTGAAAATAATAATATTTAATTTGGAAAAAAAAAAAAGAAACATCAAGTATAAATAGTTTAAAAGCACGTTTTGATTTCAAATATATGGATATTGATCAGTGTCCAACTTTATTGATTGAGGAAAGTGTTTTCCAACAACCCATGATCAGTATTTTATTAAACTATTTAAAGCATTAATAAAGTAAAACAAAATAAAGAAGTGGATGAACAAAAATGAGCATAGAGATTTTTAGAGGGTGCTTGATATAAATAAATCTGCTCAAAACAAGGTTTTTCAGTTAATCGGTATTTATTTGAAAAATGTGTTATAGATAGTTGTAAGTGGGATTTTAAGTTTATATTAAAATAATATTAAAAAAATAATTAAATTTGCTTAGTTTAAAAGTAAAAACGAGGTGATGGAAGTGATAGTTAGTTAAAATTTGAACGAATTAAAATTTATGTTATGTGTAAGAATAATTGATTGATACTATTTTATTATATTGATTATATTGATGATAAGAGTAGTTAAAGTTGAGTTATATTTTAAGTATGGATTGAGTTTATTTATAAACAGACGCACCCTTAATTACATAAACATTTTATCGTCAAGTTTAATAGTTATAAGTTATTAGTCAAGAGTAATGCTCACCTACCCACGGTGGACATATGTTAATATGCTCACCGCTTATGTGGCATGCACACATTGATGATGTATTTTTTTGAACATATTAACATCACCAATGTATAAGCGGTGGGCATATTAACATGTGCCCACCGTGGGTAGGGGAGCATTATCCTATTAGTCAATTCTCTATTTTTCCTTAAACAAAGATTGC